CTCTGACAATAGCCTGACCATCACCATTAAATCAGTATAAAGAAATTAATCGCGCTGGCCTGATATTCGACATTATATTTTTATGTAGTTAAACCAACATTTCAAAGATATTATTTCACTTATCTCAATGCTCTTCATTTCTCTGTCAGCATCTCACCCTCAGATATAAATCTGAAGACATCATCTTGACTTAAGTTGGAGTCTGAAGATTGGCTGCAAAGAGATTCAGTTCATTGACTGACACAAATGTCTGGCCACAACCAATTGATGTTATTAGAGGTTGGTTTCAAAATGCAAACTTATTTGCAACTCTTAAGTCATCTACGATACTTTTCACTTGGGGCTGGGAGTAAGAGTGTAACTTGGATCCTCTTGAAGTAAGAGAGACTGAGACATTCACCTTTGATATCAACTTTGAAGATTTCGCCATTCAAAATCTATCGAGCAAATGTTTGACAGTAGCAAAAGAATAAAAGCCGTTATCATTGACAGAGAAATCCAATCCTCACTATCATTAGTGTGCCTTTTTAAAGTGGATACTTCATTGCGGGAAAGTTTCAAGTAGGCGTTCGATAACTTGAATCAAGCTAATTCAAGAGATAATTGCACAAACACAAGGTACAGAATGCGAAGGCAAGCCACTAATGGCAAAACCTGTCTCAGTGGTCAATACCTTAACGACACAAGTAGGAATGAGGAATCCTTGAACGGATATATTGTCTTTGCTTAAGTTTTTGATATAAGACCAAAAACGCGCGAAAATAGTCAGTAATGTTGCAGATAGAGAGAAGATACCTTAGCGTACAGTGACCTCAGTAGAGCAAAGCAGACTACCACGTGATGTCAAGTAACTTGCTGACCTGTTGAGATGCGTCCTCTCTTTCTACCTCTTCCTCTCACTTCCTCCAAGACCCCAAGTGGAACACGTACAGACAATCCATTGGTTCTCTGCATGTACGTGACTCCTTTACAAGAGCCAGATCAGTCCAAAGTGGAAATACTGATGCCATATATCGATAGATTCTAAAAGCGTCTCTGCATTCTTGTGATGGCCAGGGGGTCACGAATTAATTTTTTGTGATGTCAACGAACACACATTTGACACTTTTGTAATGTCAACGTATACTCGTTGTCACTTTCGTAAATGCTCGTTGTAGTAGAGACTTTGTAATCGCAGATGCAACTATAGTAACGCCGTTGAACAATGCTGGTGTCAGACGGCTTCGTATAATTGATATGTCCCGGAAAAGGGATATATTTATTCGAAGTAGCAAGGTGGTTTGGATTACTGTAACCGAGTAGAACAATCTAGCAGGTAACCGTAATGGACTGGTCCTCGTCGTAGTGGTAGGCAATAGGCGAAGACTATAGGCGTCCTCTTGTACGTCTACCACAGTCTGTATTTATGGCTGACACCAGCCAATCATTACTGTGAGAGGGAACCAGGTGTATGCATATTCATTGCATCAATAGCACTCGCACTAATAGTACTTGCTCGATAATACTCGCTCGAATAGTAACCACCGTATAGTGATCCGAATAGAGAAATAGTATGGAGAATAGAGTAGAGAATAGCGGTCCGTATAGTAATAGAGGATAGAATAGAAATGGTGATACGAATAGTTATAGAGGATAGACTAGAAATGACGATCAAATTCGACGTCACGAAACCTACTTATGCGTTTCCTCTATGGTTACGTCGCTTACTTAATTCAATAATGGGATTGCCTGTGTTTTCTCACTGAAAGACAATGTTATATTGCTTTCCAACTTGATTACTTCGTAAGACATAATCGGTGATATTATCTTCGAAGAGAAATATTTTTTCACATGCTGTATATATTTTGCGAAAAATGAAGCTTGTGTAACATAATGCGGCGAAAAATTGTCCGCGGAAGATAAATATCTTTAACAAGAAAGAAAAAAAATATTTTTTCGGGAAGAGTTAGGATTGCGTTCTTTTAAAATGGAAATTATAACAACATAAAGGGAGACACGGATAACCTAAATTGCTGCGTACTAGTCGAGTTTTCAAGCCTAAGAATCTTTCCAAAACTAGACGTCGACTTATATGGCGGGTATAAAAAGTAAGCCTTTACTACATGTGGGGCAGCACTCTTAACAATTACTTTACACCAATTACCGTAACTCCTGCTGGCTGCCAGAAATACATCCCAATATATCTTGGTGAACATATCTGGCATATTAACAGAGAAATTCATGTAAATTAATAAAATAGTAACACAAATTTAGTCTTCTGAGTCATTGTTTGTTTACGTCACTGAGGCAAATGAGTGATGTTGTGTTTCACAATAACATACAGTGAGCTATGATAAGTTTTTAGTCACCCTTTCTTAAAGAATTTTTGGCTTGTTTAATAATATCTTTTTTTTCAGTGTTTTCATGTTAGTATCAATCTACTCTCATCTATGAACGATAGCTGACTTATAACTTTCTCTGACAGGAATCGAACCTGTATCCTATACAGAACCGTCATATAGCCTGACGTGCCTTTAACCGATTGGACCACAGACGATCGTTTGGTTAGCAAGGTTGATTTTACTGTCTTTAAACTACAATCTTCAATGATTTTCTCACGTACATTCATATCTGCTCATGGCGTATCCAAATGTAAACACATGACGTCACACATTATGAAATGGACAAAGTTCGATAATTATTCAATCAGTTAAAGGCACACCAGGCTATATGACGGTTCCGTATAGGATACAGGTTCTATTCCTGTCGGAGGACGAATATTTTCTATGAAAATCTTTCGGACATTTAGGCCGGTAAATGTTGTTTAATACTGTTTATTATAAACAGAGCATTTACTTAAATATTTCTATCTATAAAACGGATGTATAAACATAAAAATGTTTTAAAATAATTGTCGGACTTTGTCCATTTCATAGAGATGAATACAATATGGGAACCAGTAATAAGGAATACTAGTTTTGTAAATAGCTAATATTTTCCATGCGACGGAATTTTTCTAAAAAAAATTTTTTTAATTTTTGAAAAATCTGGGAAAAGTTCTATTTCCTTGGGGATAAACTAGTTTGGATGCTGTGTAAAATTCACGAAAAACCATAAATTGATTATGTTCTATCTGAACTTCTGGGGTGAGAATTTATTAATATTTACATTCAGACTAATATCATCATCTTTGTTGTTATAACAATATTTTGGCTGCTCTGTCCTCCGGTCGTGTTCATATGTCTATTCGTCAAGCTAACCTTTAGGAATTTCGAAATGAACCATTTATTTAGGTGTGTAGATTTTAAAAAAAGCGACGCAAATGGTTATTGACGTACGAAAGACAACAGAGTAACGGGTACTGGGAAAAACATTACTGAGGAGAATGGTTAATGAAAAAAAAAACGGGATTCAAAGACACTCAAGATGACAACTAACATTGCATTTAATTTTATGTAGATTGTAGCTGACAGGGAAAGCTAGAAGCTAAACGAGAAGTGTGATAGAAGTAAATTCTAATTCCACTGTCCATGATATCTTGTCTTGTTCTTCTACTTGTATTGCTCCATTATTGATGGCCCTGTGTTCAATGAGTCTGAATCAATAATTCCCGGTTCACCTTTTGAACGCACAATTATCAGATTCATGAAGCAACGATTTAATTCACTGGGTATGACGTTAAACTACATCCGGCAGCAAGACCTCTCTGATCATGAAATTAAAGGTTTTGTGGAACATGCAACTAAATCTTAATTGCTGTTGTTCTCAGTTCCATCCTGACTCGGCGTGGTAGTACCTGTTAAGGTCCTTAGCTATGGATAAATAGTGAAAACCCAAACAAAAGCGAATAGTACATTTTATAGTAAAATTACCAGCAATACATTTCTTATAGCGAAACAACAATCAATACAACACGAAAAAAAAGTATTGCAGTACATTTTTGCTGTGAAATTACTAGCAATAAATATTCTTTTAAAATATCCTTTTAAAATTATTTTAAAAAAATGGCAACAACACGTTTTATCTACAAAACAAATAAAAAAAAAACGTTTATCCTGAAAGTATAAAACTATATACAAAATATGTGTCGTGGAAGGCATAAGATTGCGTACAAAATATTTAGATTTTGGCATTAAATAACCCATAGAGATGTTGATATGCCGCTAAACAAAACAAACAACCAATAATTCACTCGGCCACTTTCTCTCTTTCTTTCTTCTTCACTGTCTAACACACACACACACACACACACACACACACACACACACATATATATATATATATATATATATATATATATATATATGCACAATCCAGTATCGATATTAACAGTTTGAAGAAGAAAATAATACAAAGCAAGGCATCTTTTCATTTGCACTTTTGTTGTGTTGTTTCTATTTGTTTTCAAACAACTGTGTATATTACCTTTCTTTATTCTTTCATTATCATTCGTATTAGCAGTCTACTTTGTCTCAAGTATAAAGATACTAAAAAACAACCTAACCAGTGTCTATGCTTATGTGTCTCTAAGTTCAAATTAGTGAAAGGGTCCGAAACCTATTTTGACAATGATACCGCCGCCACCTCGTCATGCTCCCAGTTCCAGACATCACTGCATGATCTTGAGTCGAAAAAGAGATTGGCGAAAGGTTTATCATTCGCAACCTGTCAGAAGCGCTTCGGTGACTGACCTAGTTAACCGGATCGCCACACACAAATTAGTTTCTCATAAGAGAGTTTGGTAAAAAGGAAAATTTCTTTTTATTTCTACGTCAACATTATTGCTTTTCTTTTTTTCTTTATCATTCTGTTGTGTCTCATTCAAAAATACTCCTTCACTTTTGTATTCAGCGTCTATCAACGCTGATCTAATGTGATGAGTTGGTGATGTTCGTTTACAAATGTTATCGTTCCTGTTTTCCAAACTTGGTTATTTCCTCGTTAGAAATTAAAATGATTCCACCAGGATTTTTGTACTGTTTCATTTCCAGTTAATAATTTATTGAGATTTGTCTTCGCTTATGTCAATTTTCTCTTTCTCACCGTTTTTTTTTAATTTCTTTTTAACACATTATGAATGTTTCTTTCTTTGTTTTTCTTTCTTTCTGCATCTTTTCTTTCTTTCTTTCGTTATTTCATCCCCTTCTTTCTTTCTTCGTTTCTTTCAGTCTTTCTTTCTTTTACCACCTTCTTTCTTTCTTTTTGCATCCCCTTCTTTCTTTCTTTCTTTCTTTCTTTCTTCTTTTCTTTCTTCCTTTCTTTTTTACCACCTTCTTTCTTTCTTTCTTTCTTTCTTTCTTTTTGCATCCCCTTCTTTCTTTCTTCCTTCCTTCCTTTTTTCATTCTTTCTTTCTTTTACCAGCTTCGTTCTTTCTTTCTTTCTTTTTGCATCCCCTTCTTTCTTTCTTCCTTTCTTTCATTCTTTCTTTCTTTTACCACCTTCTTTCTTTCTTTTTGCATCGCCTTCTTTCATTCATATATTCATTCAGTCTTTCTTCTTTGAATTCTTTTCTTTTTTCCTTTCATTCTGTTCTTCATTTCTTTCTTTCTTTCTTTCTTGTCACCCTTTATTTCTTGATAGACCTTTCTTGATAACACTTCCTTTCTTTCTGATCTTTGATGTCGATTATCTTTTTACTCTTTTCAGATGCTGCTTCTGTTTCTCATTTCTGGTGACAGTTTGTCTTAACATTTTATTTTTAATTATTTCTCCAACACTTCTCACTATTTCGTCTTTTATTTTCATTTCCTTTCACTTCCTCACACACATCACATAATACCCTGGTTTAAGTTCCTAAATTCAATCTATAACATTGACTGAAATGAAAAATTTTAAGACCCGGCACAGGTGTAGACAAGAAACAACGATTTACTTGAATTACTTTGAAAAGAAAGAAATGAGAAAAACGAAAAATAAAACAGCAATACAAAGTACAACGAAATAGAAGACTCATATATTTCGTTGTCCTTGCTGTTCTATTAATTAGTGGAAGATATTCTTGCTTGAGCAAAGACCCTTTGCTGGCAATTCAAGCTTTGTCAATGAAATTCGAGAAGAATCTTAATGAAGACGAACGACCTTCTTGAAAGATCCGGCGCCGCCTAGCGGATCTCCTTACCTAATGAGTTGTCATTTCTATGTACAGCGTCCAGTTGAACAGTTTCAAATTGTGTTCACTTGGCTCCAACCAAAACTAGTTATTAGATTTATTTTAAAATATAATGCTGAGGCTGACAAGACATTTGAAAAATCGATAAATAAAGAAGCAATAACGACAGTTCACCAAGAATGAGATCGGCAGACAAAATTTTCTTTTCTTTTCATAGGCTCTGTATTCACCTACAGTAATACAGGGTACATTATTTACATTATTCGGAGTATTGCCCTCATCTCTGTGGCCATATTTATCACTACATTTCGGCCGTTGTACGCTCCGGCCTTCTTCAGGTGGTTGGAATGTCGAACTGAACATCTGTCTATATTTCTAAGATGAGGTTTTGTGTACACTATTTACATTATTCGGAGTATTGTCATTATCTTTTTCGCCATATTCATCACAACATTTCGGCCGTTGTTCGCTCCGGCCTTCTTCAGGTGGTTGGAATGTCGAACTGAACGTCTATCTATATTTCTAAGATGAGTTTTTATGTACACTATTTACATTATTCGGAGTATTGTCATCATCTTTGTCGCCATATTTATCACAACATTTCGGCAGTTGTACGCTCCGGCCTTCTTCAGGTGGTTAGAATGTCCCTCACTGGTGTAGACTGTCCTAATTCCACGTGCCATGTTTAATGGATGTCAGTTATCAGTTATCTCCTATTAATTCCCCTCTGTCTTAACCGGCTATTAAACTCTTTGGGTCCTGTCACTGGATCTAACTAACGCCTTTATACACTGTGTCATATGTCCTTGAGGACATCTGTGTATGAATTTCTGGATATTTCTGTTATCAGCAACCATTTTTAACAAGTGCTCATATTGCAATTTTTAGCTCTTATCATTGTATGTTTTTACGAGAGCTCATATTGCAATTTTATTGTTATTATCGCTTTTCTCAGACACTCCTTATTACTGGTTCCCATATTGTATTCATTTCTATGCTTAGTCATCTCAGGAGATTTTTGTGACATAGCATATGTGCTGATTCCTTAAGTTTACGTATTTTCTAACGGTGTTCTTTGTCTATGGTCTTAACCTGATCCCACAAAGGGCAGTGATCTCACTTTTCTTTCCATATGTGGTCAGCCACGCCTGATGTTTCCACTTCCCCTCGCGTTACAGCTTTCAGTTGTTCTTGAAGCCTTACCTTAAGGGGGCGGCCTGTCTCCCCTTTATATTTCTTTCCGCAGCTGCATATAATGTAAATAGTGTACATAATACCTCCTCTCAGAAATATAGACAGATACTGTAATACAGGGTATTTCACAATTGTTGAAACAGAGCAGCGATCTCTTAAATATGCACAGATCGAGGAGCGAGAGGACTCTGATGCGGAGAATCATTGGTTTCAGCAGAATGGGGGTACCCCTTACGCTGTTACTATGGCATGGCTCCGGGAAAAGTTTGAAGAGCGTCTCATCAGCCGCGAAACTGATATGAAATGGGCGACTAACTCGCCTGACCTGAAGCAACAACCCAGATTTCTTCCTCTTGTGATGCCTTGCAGAGCAACCGTCGCACCATTGCTACACTGAAGGCAGTCATCACCGAGAAGATACAAGCGATCACCCAGGAGGAATATGAACGCGTTATCAACAACTTTGCATTCAACAAGCCTTTCAACAGAACATCGATCATCTGGAGCATGTAATCTAGGGCTCTTGTTAATATTTCAGCTTAATGTTTGAGATTCAATTGTTACAGACCCTAAAATTTTATCGTAAAACGGTCTTTGCTCAAGCAAGAATCTCTTCCACTAATTAATAAGACATCAATGACAACGAAATATATGCGTCTTCTGTTTCGTTTTTTATTGAATTGTCGTCCTATTTTCATTTTTCCCGCTTATTTCTCTAAAAAGCAGTTCAAGTAATACGTTGTTTCTTGTCTACACCTATGCTGGGTCTTTTTAATAACCGTAATTTCCATTACTCTATCATTTGTGGTCCTTGATTTGTGCCCGATCATTTTGTTTAAAAATTGTCAAACACCTTGTGTTGTATAGAGGCGCGTAGCTATAACGTTCGCAATTAGACCATGAAACCAGTATTAGAAGCTCTCTCTAGCGTAGTGAGGGGAATTAATAATATCGTGATGGGGAGATAGTCCCAGCTTGTGTCACCGTTGGAAAGCGCCTGGAAATCATACCAGATGTTGACCCAAGCTTTCTCAGGGAAATGTTGTAGACGGAACAGTCCAGAAGCCATCGGTGTAACAAAGTTCAAAGTGTTTATCACGCAAGAATATATGCTCCATGACAAAAACTATAACTGAGGTCTCCTCCGCATAATTCCAGTATAAACCACTGGTTGTCTCCGTGGGTATTGATGAAACTCAAATGGGTCTGAGCAAACGGTTGCAAGAGGGACTGGTTCGATACACTTGCAGAGGAGTAATCGTCCATCATTATATATCCAGTTCACGCGCACGCACATAAACACACACACAATATATATATATATATATATATATATATATATATATATATATATATATATATATAAAAATTCCGTAGTAAGTAATCCAAGTGAATCCTAGCAATCAGAAGGAGTTTTCATGAAGACATTCGATACAAGTCCTACGTGATAAAGAGAGGTCAATTTATATCTGAAAAACAAAAGAAAACCATTTAAACAGATCTGAAAGGCTATTAAACAAACTTAAAAATCCTTCAGAAGCTGGTGTGATTTGGTTTTTTCTCAGATGAGAAAAATTTTGATCAAAATCAAAAACTTAACAGAAGAAATAACAGATGGCTTTGTTCAGATCCTTCTGAGGTGCCAAGAGTGATGCGCACAAAATTTCCTTCAAGTGTTATCGTATTGGGTGTTGTTAGCAATGAAGGACATGTTATGCCACCACACTTTTTTCCACAAAGGTCTTAGAGTAAATGCTGCTGCTTATATTGAGGTTCTAAAAACAGTTGTCAAGCCCTGGAGTGACAACATATGCAACGACAGGCCTTACATATTCCAGCAAGACTCAGCTCCATCCCACAAGGTTTTACAGACATAAGAATCGATGGCTGACCATTTGTACGACCACATCACACCCAACATTTGGCCTCCTAACTCTCCAGATCTCAATCCACTAGACTATTATGTGTGGAGCGTTGTTGAGAAGGAGGTTAATAAACAGCCTCATAACACCAAAGACTCTCTTAAAGCAGCAGTAGTTCGAGTAATGTCTGACATAAATAAGGACCAATTAATCAAAGCTTGCAGTCTATTTCCACCCCGGGTAGAGGCAGTTATTGATGCTAGTGGTGGTTTTATTGAATAAAATTAAATAATAGTTAGCTAAATTCCATGTTTACATGTTTATAATCAAATATAATTATATTCATTTGTTCAGCAAGTTTTTTTTTACTAATCCATAAAATATGTCCTCAAATACCAGCCGCACCTTGTATATAACAGTTTTGCCAATTTTTTTACATGCAGATGTTCCTTTGTCCAATGTTCGTCTCATTGGATGATTTTTGGTTAGTGATACCTTTTTGTTGTTGAAATGCATTCATTTAGATAATTTTAACGATGTGTGTTTACTGTATGAATTGTCAATTCAGTGTTAATGTTGCTTTCATCTATGACTTGAGGAGCTCTTAATTTTATACTGGATACTGACAACATCGGCATCTTTCTTTGATCTCTTTTGTCTAGCTTCGAATGTCTACAGTTTTCTTTTCACATCCAAAATGCTCCCGACATCATCATTCTTCGTCTGAGTGACTTCGAAAGCAAGCATGTCTTGCTATTGCAAGTTACTTAGCAATTTCATGTTACTCATTCTTTCATTACATTACAACAATTTCAATCTACTCTCTAATCTTCCTCTCCCGATTTTGAAATTTAAATGAACTACACAAAAATGATAAATTGAGGCTCCAGGCCTTAGGCAATATATTTGTTCCTTTTTAAATCAGATTTACTCCGAGGAAGGCATTAAAGCCTCTAAGACGCAAGGAGGTTACTGAGTGTGAAAAATGTAGAAAGCAGAAACCTTACTAAGGAGCGAGAATAAAAGAAGAGTAATCAGGAAGACAGTAGATAACGATAGACATTGCATTTACATTTTTTAAGATAAAAGTTGACTAGAAATCATGGCGACAGAAGAGAGTTTCATAATCTAGAAGTGCCGGAAAAAGAAACGGTTACTTCGAGGTAATTCAGCCGTAAGTTGCTGATACCTTCTTGCTAATCTATTACTTCGCTTAAATTCTTAACGTCTAGGTCCCATAGCCAAGAGCTAATCGGAATAATTATCAAGAAAGTATTTATAGAAATTCTTTTTTTTTTTTGTTCTTACCATTTTCAGTTGAATTCGCTTAGAAAGACGACTAATTTCGTTGTACGACGGTTCGATTTTCATCCACAATAACTCGAAGCGAGGTAATTTACAGTAATATCGACTCCGGGGTTTTATCGATCGGAATCTTCTAGAGCATATTTTGTCAACATTGAATATTGTGGCTATACCTGGTCCAGTGATTCTGCGATAGATTTTTGACAAAATCCAAAGTATCTGTAGTTCTATCGGTTGTGACCTGACATCCCGGCTCAAATCATTTTCCACCATTGTAGAATAGCAACCATGTGTCTTTCCCATAAA